TTACCTCTTCCGGAGGTTTAGTCCGATGCTCGTGTGGATGAAGAAAAGGTGAGGTTTGCCGCACAGGATGAGAATCGGTACATGCCTCCAGGTTACATCTCCTCTGAAGGCACAAACTCTGGTCAAGGTGCCGCTGGAGTGTGCCCAGCCGTTGACAGCTCCCCGGTTCAGGCCTTGTGATGCACCTGGGATCGCTTTTGCAGAGTTACGCTTGCTGCTGAGCCTACTTGGAGGATCATGGGACTTAGTAAGTAAGGTTATAAGTCCCCTAATTGGGGTTATAAGTATAGTTACCCTAATAAAAACCCTACTTACTAAGTCCCATGATCCTTTAAGTAGGCCCATAGACCCGGGAACACGAGGGCACGTCCATGTCATCTGTCAGAGACTTTGCCATCGGCTGAGCGGCGGTTGACAAACGCGAATGCCGTTGGAAACATCAAGGTTGTCCCGGTCGTGAAGACGCACTGGCCAAGACCTAGGACCACCTCTCTCCAATAGCCTGGGCGCAGTGGCGATTTGCAATCACCCAGAGACTCCAATATCCCTTAATTAAGGAATATACCTTAAATCACATTAAGGATCCTACTATAATTTAAGGAATTTTCCTAAATTAAGGGATATTGGAGTCTCTGGCTAGGCCGCGAGGCGCCCACTGCAGCCCCGAAGCCGTACTCTGGATTTGCCAGCAGGCCTCAGCTGCAAGTCCGCCTTAAGATGCTGTGAAAAATCGTCGCCCCTAAACCCTCAAGGGTTTAGGGTTTCGGGTTTAGGGTTTAGGGTTTGGGGTTTAGGGTTTAGGGCTTAGGGCCTAAACCGTGCGTCCGGGGTGCCGTAGAGTGGGAAAAGTCCATATGCAAGGCTGCTGAGCACGAAGCCGACCACCAAGGTGTTGAGAAAGCCTCTGACAGTGTGCGGCTTCCTAAACCCTAAACCCTACCTTAAGAACCCAAAACCTACTTTTTTGGTAGGGTCCCTATAAATCCCATATTAATTAGGGTTTATAATCAGAACTTACAAAGAAGTGGGTTTTGGGTTCTGAAGGTAAACCATGGGCCCCGATTGCTTGGAAGGAAAGCAGGAGTCTCAGCAAGAGAGCCGTCGTATATTCAGCACAACATGGAGCATCGCAAGAGCCTATTTTCTTGGTCAGCACCGGATAGAGGGTCATCTGGCTCAGCATGACGCCCGCAGCACCTTCCATGAGCACGGCTGCACATTCAGATCATCAAGGTGGCACCGTGGTACTGCCAAGACGATGCCTACGTTCTGAATGATGGAGATCGCCCGTGGGCTCAGCTCAAACCCGCCCACAGAGCGGTCGTATGACCTCACTTGCACTTGGCACGCAACAGCAGCTCTGATCTCCAGCTAAACTGAGATTCGGACACCAGCCAGGCCATCAACTGGTCCTGTGCCATTACGCGGCCAGTCAGGCCGCAGTACATGATGATGACCCTTGGCCGTCAGCAGTTGAAGCACCATCAATGACCTTCTAGGCCGGCATGCCACAGGATTTCCGACATGCGTGGGTCTCACGTCAGCCGTCAACAAAATGCTTGCCACATCGGTTTGGGTTTAGGGTTTAGGGTTTAGGGTTTAGGGTCGAGATCAGAGCTAGGGTTTTGACTCTGATTCTCCACGAAACCACTGCGTCGAGCGCCCTGTTTGGCGGGCCCGGGTGCTGCAGCTGAGGGTCTGGATGGTAGGCAGTGGATAGCAGCCTCGTGCACTTCCTGACTAGGGTTTAGGGTTTAGGGTTTAGGGTTTAGGGTTTAGGTCAAAACTGCCGAGAAGAGGTCACGTTTGCTTGCAGGGCTGCGACCAACTCCCGGGCGGTTGCAACAGCCACAGCTGTCCTGGGTCTGCAGACGTGTCCACCCCCGAGTCCTTCTCGTGCATCGGACCTGCACAAGGTCTGTGCTGAGTCTGCGGGTGCTGGATGTTAGACAGGTGGAATCCATGCAGAGAGATGCCTGACATCGCGCGCTGCAAGGTTTGAGGCCTCCACAGGGAGAGTTCCGAGAGCACTTAACGGGGTCGGAGCAAACTTCGGGTCACACCTGAGGATACCAGTGATGCTGGCTTTGATGTGCAATATGGGAGTCTCCAAAAACTGGGGTACCTTATTTTGGGGTCCTTATAATAAGGGTCCTACTATTTAGGGTACTATATTAGGGTCCCCTATTTTCGGAAACTCCCATATTGCGCAATCTCATGACTACAATTTGACTTGGAAGACTCCCGCCGTCCTGGTGCCCTGTCGTCTGAAGACCTTGCGACACTTGCAGCGTTGGCTCTTCGGTAGAGTCTCCTTGGGAGGGGCCAAGCATGACATGTGTGGCGCACGGAGTGGAGCCGTGACCTGTGGCTTGGACCGTGAAGCAGCTTAAACATCACCAGGAATTGCGACGAAGCATCTGACCGCTAAACTTGCGAGTCGAGCGACACAGACTGTCAGGGTTTAGGGTTTAGGGTTTAGGGCTTATAGGGTTTAGGGACCTACCCATGCACGAGTCTTGCACGAGCCGTCCTCTATGCAGAAGGCTGCGATGCACCTGCAGGCGCCAGACCGTCTCAAACTACTGTGCCCCACGGTTCCGGCCAAGGGTTGTCAGCGAAGGAGTTCGAGGCTTTTGGTTTTGGGCAGGCAGCCTTGTTCGACTACCTATGCCACGGTCCTGGCGGTAGGCTGAAATCATGTACAAGCTTTTGATCACTGCAATCCATTCCACTCTTGGTCCGTATACGCTCTGCCTGCTTTCTTGCTATCGTTCCGTTCTTGCTTCTTCAGCCTTCCATCCCCTTCCTTCATTCCTTCCTTCCTTCCTTCCTTCCTTCCTTCCTTCCTTCCACATTGGGGCACCCGTCGGGCTGGTTGGTGCGAGCAGCCAGGGTGGAGTCAACTGCAGCTGTGGCGCCAAGAGATCGCTGCGAAGATGGCCTCGGACGGGAAGGAACAAGCGGCAGTGAAGGCCAGCGTCACGACTGCAAAGACTGCTGCCGCCGCAGGATTTCAACAGGCAACACGGCGAACCCTCATGCAAGGAGCAAGGTAGCCGCAAAAGTCTGCTAGGTGAAAGAGTTTACGCCGGGTCTGAGAAGCAATGCTTCACCACCGCCCCCCACCACGAGTTGCTGTTGAAAGTTGAGTTGGCCCGTAATGCTGGAACATCGCACCAATGCTCTGCTTAAACGTACTTAGTAGAGGGATGCCGACAAATTCTTAGCGGAGGGAGAGAGTCCAGAAATACAAGCAGACGGGCTCATTGCGACAAGAAGAGGGGTCCTCACAAGGAACAAATGCAGGATGTCTACAAAAATCATCATACTGTCATCGAGAATTCTCGAAACAGGCTCAAGCCATGCTGCAAAGATAAGGTTGGGCAGGAGAAAGGGGTACTCGTCAAAGATGGTTTCCGCAAAGATGTTGGGTGCCCAGCTCGCCGGATAGACCAATCTCAGATGTGCTCGACTTCATTTAATCTTCATTCCATCGGCTAGTGCATACGTACATGAATACGGAAACCCATGACTAAGAACGGTATCCAATAGCCTTTGATTACATGTATCAGTTGTCAAACGTCGTCGTCGTCGTCAACACCGTGAGCTCGCCCTCGTGGAAGTCGTCTACTGCTGCTACTTCTTCTGCTTCTGCTACTGCTGTTGCCCTGCCACCTCCACTGCCACTGCTACTACCAGTTACTACTTCTTCTACTACTACTACTACTACGACCACTACTGCCACTGCTACTACTGCTACTACCACTAC